GATACGGACATTATCCTTCGAGGACCATAAACGCCAAGCTATAGCTATTAACGTAACCCTAGAGGATTACGATGACTCTGAAGTAGTCCCGAGACATTGTGATAGCACTGCGACGGTATTCGAGGTAATAGGTACTACCCACGGGACGTGCTTGTCGAGCACAGTGATCACCGTGAGGTTTTGACAGGTACGAATCCGGCATAACCTTCCTGTTGCCCCCGTAGCGGAAGGTATCCATGAGGATTTCCCTACATTTTTTTAAATATCCTTTTTTTATAAAACTGAAGTGAAAAACGAACCTGTAGCCCATGAGCACCGCCAACCGATTTCAAACAAAAGAGAGTACAGTTGCGTTGTCACCTTTAAAGAGCCTACTCCTTTTTTAAAGGCCGGCAACGCATCTGCAATTCCCCTGGTGTTGCACTTGTTCATAGGCGGCGGTAGTCACTTTTTTTTATATAATAGGGGTAACAAACGAGCACATAGTCCACCTGATGGTAAGTGGTTTCTGTGGCCCATAGACATCTACATCTATCCTCGATTACGAATCAAAAATCAGATGCATTGTCACCCGTGAGAACTAAGATGAAATGCCTCGTTTCCAGTAAAAAGGGTCTCCGGTTCTCTACACTCACCATAAAAAACACAGCAGCGTTAAGCTGCTATTTTACGCTGGCACACTTACCATCAGGTGAGCCGCATGCTCGCTTGCCACCTCTCCAATAAAAAAAAACTAAGATGGAATACCTGCCATCCTAGTCCTATTTGGTGGTATGACTTCATTTCTGCCTTGGAATTATCCTGGGTAGATAACAATACCTTATTTATTTCTGTTGTCAAATAGTAGTGTTTGCACTGCTCTATTCCGATCTGAAGAGTTTAGAGAGCCTGTATAATTATAGATGCTTTAGAAACTCAATAATAATAATAAATGCGGAAACAGTTACTTTGAGGAAATCTAAATTATTAAACATGTTAAAAATTAATTAGCTTACATCCGCGTAATAAATGTTAATACATTTTAATCCGCGGTTCTTAAGTAATAAATTTTTAACATCTTTAATTTAAGAAATAGGTCTATTATAGTCATAATACTGTGCTAAATTTAGCACAATGGCACACTTATAAATTCTTGCCTTTTTAGGGTTCCGTACCCAAAGGGTATCCAACGGGACCGTATTACTAAGCCTCCTCTGTCCGTCCGTCTGCCCGTCTGTCTGTCAGCGGGCTGTAGTCTCATAATCCGTAATAGGTAGACAGTTAAAATTTTCACAGAATGTGTATTTCTGTTGCCGCTATAACAACAAATGATAAAAATTAAAATGAATTAAAAATTATAGGGGACTCTCCTACTAGAAACGTGTATTACCATGGTACGGAACCTCCCATGCGCGAGTCCGACTCGCACTTCGTCGGTTATTTTATATGATAATGGTGATAAACGAGCACACAGTCCACGTGATGGTAAGTGGTTGCTGTGGCCCATAGACATCAACATATATCTTCGATTACAAAACAAAATGCACATGCGTTGTCAACCGTGAGGACTAAGATCAAAATGCCTTGTTTCCAGTAAGAAGGGTATCCGGTTCTCTACACTCACCATACGAAACACAGCAGCAATAAACTGCTATTTTTGCTGTATTCTGTGAGAGCGTGCTGCTTCCCCGGTCTAGCCGACCCATTCGTGCTACAACTATACTACTAATATAGCTGCAGCATGACTCTACCACGTATAAAATAAACGTGGTAGAGCTATGCTAGAGCCACGTATTAATTATGTTGCTTATAGAGTTTTGCCTACCACCAGAGGTACTAAAGGTGCTATTGGTAAGTGTAATTTGATATCGGAAATGCATCGTATAGTGTCAGTGAGTACTTGATCGTTTTTACCTCAGTAGGTTAGGGACCGCACTATCAATTTTATTCGCGCAATCATGTTCATAGTGATGTAAGTTGAACACATATCGATATTAATAACTTAAATTATTTAATGTAAGTGTAATTTAATATCGGAAATGCATCGCATTGAGTCAGTGAGTATTTGATCGTTTTTACGTCTGTAGGTTAGGGACCGCGCTATCAATTTTCGCGTAATCACGTTCTTAGTGATGTAAGTTGAACACATATCGATATTAATAACTTAAATTATTTAACAAGTGCGTTGCCGGCATCTTAAAATAATTTTAAAGATAATGTTAAAATATTTAAAAGATGTCTTGATGGTGGATGGTGGAATTTATATTCCACCCAGGCGAACCGGGAACCGGTCGCTAGAATTATATATAATACAACACAAACTGTTCGGATTACATTAAGACAGTATTGATATTATACAAATGCTTACACGTACCAACTACTTTTAGTGCTTTATTTTATTTAGTTTGTTTTTTGAATCTAAAGACATGGCTTTAAGGACAAGCATCCAAGCCATGGGTTCATTTCATTCGGGATTTTCGTTTTTATAGATTTTGAGTATCAAGTGATAATAATCCTTTATAGTTACACTGTTTCACAATATGTTGATGTGTCACATTGCGTAGTTTTTGGGAAATTTTGACAGCAACTTGAGCAACTTGATTTGGCGACAGTATCGCAAGGCGTCTAAGCATACAGACACCTTATCTTGAGATTCAAATCACCATCGGTTCACTTGTTTCACCGTTTCGTTAAAAGTTCACATGCGCAGTCATCCACTTCAAACCATTATTTAAACAATAATACAGGAGTAGCAAACCGCCGCCGGTAAAGTTCCCGCCAAAACGCCGTCTGCATTCAGTGTTAGGTTGATGGATTTCTTAAACATGTTTATTAATTTTAATTTGTATCGATAGTATCGATAAATGCCACGTTCCTGCTACGGTCCAACATCATGCGATACAAGAAATTATCCATCCCAACAATTGAGGTCTATTTCGAGCGATAAAAATGATAACACGTTGCTAACTGGCGTCAAGTGACTCTGATTGAGTGTTGGTTGATTTAAAATGCACTAGTGAATGCACGCGGTTATCTGCGACGATTTCACGATCACATATTCAGTATGTGGTGTAATAAATTTTTGCCTAGGAGTGAGTATTTTTTATAGAACTAAGGGTGAGAAATGTGCACACAATCCAACTGATGATAAGTGGATGTTTTGGCCTATAGACCTTCTATCCTCGATAATAAATCAAAATGCAGATGCGTTGTCACCCCCGAGGACTAAAATGGAACGACTCGTTATCAGTAAAGAATTTCTCGGAATCTGTTCTCGTGTAAGGAATAGAACAAGTTCAAGATAACCTACTAGATTTTCGTCTAAATAGTTACATTAAAATCTTGATTACCTATTTTTCCATCTCGGATATATTTCTTTAAATTCCTATGGAACCACCACTAAAGTAAAAAAAATAATGACTTAAATCGGTTTTTCAATCGGCTCCACGTTACAGTTATCAAGGTCCATTGCTGATCATAGGCCTCCTCCATAGATGCTACATATATGAGATATTTGCCATAGTTGCCACGCTTAGCAAGCGGGATGGCAACCGCATGTTTTTAGTTTTAGCTTATTTCCCTATCTCCTGGCTTATTTCCCTCTGTCGCTTCATAAGACACCAATGGGATACTATCGCGTAGTGGATATTCTTACACAAGGTTCGTGAGAAATCGGTGGACTCACATAAAAAAAAAAACATTCGCGTCCAATCTAGAATCGCTTTGATAGGGTTAAAATATAGTAGAATTTTGAACCACGTCCTTTTTCGAAGTCGAATAAAATTGTTTAATATTAGTGTTACTACACTATAACTGTTATTAATCACAGTTTCACTAGGATATCTGTATGTTATTACTGTACAGGTCTGCATTTTGCGTATGGTACTATGAAGGTGAGTTTTTATAGAATAACGGTGACAAACGAGCACACAGTCCATCCACCTGACTGTAAGTGGATACTACGAACCATAGATATACACCTATCCTTGATTAAGAATAGAAATGCACATGGCCTTGCCATAGCGTTATTTACTTCGACATATTTCAGTAATTGTCGTTTTAATTTTAAAAAAAAAAGAAGTATCATCAGCAAATAATAACTACATATAACATGGTCTTCCCCTACTATGTAAGGTAAATCATTAATATATACAAGAAACTGTACAGGGCCGAAAATTGAGCCCTGAGGCACGCCCATTTATACTTACGACCCGGAAGAATATATACTATTAATGACAATCAAGAATCAAATCAACTGAGAATCAAAATGCAAATGCGTTGTTACCCCTGAGGATCAAGATGGAATGCTTCGTTTCCAGTATAATATAAAATTAAAAAATATGCGTGAGTGTCCTGGAACACTCGGTTGGAACGAAGTTCCTTGCGTAGTATATTATTATTGATAAACGTAGGTATTATATTATTGATTAACAAATACAAATAAATGAATTACTGGTGTCTTTTAAAATGAAGCGTCATTTGAAATAAAATATTATTTCTTTCATGGTAAGATAAGAAAAAGTGCGAGGGAGATGGATATTATTCCATCTCACTTCCTTATTTCGCCGTCAAGACCGTCTACACTATGACGCATGGGGTAGTGACGAAAAAATCTTACACTTTTTGTCGCCTAGCTCCCATCCGCCAAACCAGTACCGTCCGATAAGGAACTACGTTCCAAAAATTTTGTACAACCGACTTCAACAGGTTATTAGTTATAACTCAAAAACAATTGGTAAGACCTTGATAATATTTGAGTGGGACTATATGAGAAGCACCAGATTTCAAATAAAAGAAGTATCATCTAAATCGGTTAATCTAGAATAAAGTTATGAGGTAACACACATGAAAAAAAAGAACATACCGTTGAAAGTAGGTAGAAAAAGAGTCTCCGGATACACTCACCTTACGAATCATAATAGCATGCTGCTATTTCGCTCTGGCATTCTGTATTAGACTGACGGATCACCTAGTTATAAAGAATACCTTTAACATTTTGTAATATTTTAATATTTTTACAGACGGTGGTGCATCTCCTCGATTTGGACGACCGCGACTGTACTTCTGCATCGGTTGATGACTGCGCCCCTACCGCCGATTTCGGGTAACTGGCTTCTTTCATCAAACTAGCACATTCCCGAGCTCGAAACCGAACCAAAGACGAATATTGTAAATAGGAAAAAAATAGTAATAATGTCCTCTAGACCGAATTTTGGTCACGGCGGCCTATCTCTACGGAGACGCGTCATCTGTGCAAGACAGGATTACAGTACACAAAGGTATGTGCAAACACAGGTACACTCTCTATTCCCTCACTCTCATAGTACGATGGGAAATCCGACACGATCGGAGAGAGATCAGGCGCAGGACCTACGGCTTTCCATGCTTTTCGACGCACGGGGGTGAAAATATGGTGATATTATATATATATATATACTACCTGATTCTGGGCTTCTCCTATTAATGTTTTGACAGGGAAAGCCAATAACTGATTTTTGTCTGGCCCGGGATTCGAACCCAGGGCTTAATGATTTACCGCGATGACCGCGTTTACGACCACTATACCAAAGAGGTAGTCCACTTCAACTTTGAGTAGTAGATACAAAAACACAAAAAGATGAAAATGCAATCAATATGTACCACAAACCATTCAAGGAGTATTTTCTCGACCAGAATGCATTCCGACCAAGGTCAAAATGATTACATAGTGCTGACAAGTAAATGCAGCGGCGCATGAAGTCACGTTTTTTTAAAACTTATTACTTACTAGCTGTTTTTATTACGATAATTTATTACGATTGGATTTCATAGGTTTAAATATTTTTTGCGCGGAACCCTATTTCTTTTTATGAAACAAAGTTGCCTAAGTTGCTCCTTATAACGTCACTTATCTGCCAGTGAAAGTCCCGTCAAAATCGGTCCAGTAATTTCGGAGATTAGTCGGAACACACAGACAGACGGACAAAATTGTAACAATTGTTTTTTGGTTGTAAACTTGTAATTTGGAGTTACAAACAGCCACTTCAATTTTATATATTTGTATAAATTAGCCAGCGCTTGACTGGAATTCCACCTAGTGGTACTATAGTGGTGTTGAAGCCCTACATGGTAAACCGCACTGTCTTAGCGAAATAAAAACCTATTCACTCTTGCCTTTTTTTAACAATCTGAATCTGAACGAGAGGGGAGGTTTTGTTTTACTGCTGACTGAAAAAGGTCACCCGCTCTCTTTAAATCTCTATATATAAAGATCAATTGCTCTCCGTTATGGCTGATTTACACAGGGTCAGTAACTGGTTCCAAATTCCAGGTAAGTCATTGATGGCCCGATACTGACATAGTGTATACTAGCTGTTCCCCGCGACTTCGCCCGCGTGTTATTTGGGGTTTTAATTTTTTTGCGCGGAACCCTAATTCTTTTTCTAAAATAAAAGTAGCCTTAGTTACTCCTTGTGACATCAGCTATCTGCCAGTGAAAATCCCGTCAAAATCGGATCAGGCGTTTCGGAGATTAGCCGGAATAAACAGACAGACGGACAGACAGACAGACAGACAAAAACTTTTAAAATTGTATTTTTGCTATTAGTACCGTATATAGAAACAGAAACAGAAACAGAAACTTTTTTATTCAATATAGATTATAAATAATACTTATTGAAAGTCACTCTTTTGTTTGATTACCACTGGTTCGGAAAAAACCTCTGTCCTGGGAAGAACCAGCAAGAAACCCAGCGGGACTTTTTTTTTAAATAACAGCTTACAATCATGATGTTAAACAAATTAACAACACAACAAATTAGAAATAGCTTGGTAGCGATCACCTCATTTCCAGGGGTTATTATCATCCATAAATTCCTTAATATTATAATAACCCTTTTTATACAAACTTAGTTTAATAAAGTTTTTGAACTTTGAACAGGTCAAACTTTGTATATTTTCTGGAATTTTGTTGTAAAAGCGTATACATCGCCCCAAGAATGAATTACTGACTCGATGGAGTCGAGTAACTGGTACTACTAGCTTGTGTCTGTTCCTAGTATTTACAGAATGAATATCACTTATTTTTGTAAAACTACTTTTATTTTTGTGTACGTACATTACATTTTCATAAATGTATAGAGAGGCCAAAGTTAATATATTAATTTCCTTAAATTTTTGTCGCAGCGACTCTTTAGGCTTTAAATCATAAATTGCTCTTATGGCCCTCTTCTGCAAAACAAATATAATTTCAGTGTCAGCTGCGTGTCCCCATAGCAAAATACCATACGACATTATGCTATGGAAGTAGCTGAAGTAAACTAGTCTAGCTGTTTCAACACTGGTTAGACTTCTAATCTTTTTTACAGCATATGCTGCAGAACTAAGTCTGCTTGCTAGTTTTGATATATGGGGGCTCCATTGAAGCTTCGCGTCTAGTGTGATTCCAAGAAAAATGGTGGTATCTACAAGACTCAGTTTCTCCCCATTTAAAATTACATTAGTATTTAATTGTTTGACATTTGGAGTCACGAATTTCATACATTTTGTTTTAGTGCCATTTAAATGCAAATTATTAACATCGAACCAATTTACTAATTTAGATATAGCATTATTTTTATTATATATATTTATTATTTTTTTACTAAATGCATACTTTCATATGCATTTAGTAAAAAGCTGTAATTTTGACATTACAAACAGACACTTCAATTTTATTTATTTGCATAGATTGATTTGGTGTCAGTACAGCGCTGTCACGGCAGTGTTGACTTCAATGTTCCTGCTGGTTCTATTCTGCTGGTCTAAATGATTCACAATTGGACCCGGTAGGTGGCGCTTTTGTCGAGATCCAGAAATGATCCGTGCGAAGCCGGGGCGTATCGCTAGTTTGGTATATTAATCAATGACTGTTTAACCGTTTAGCGGAAAATTAAGCTGAAGTAGTAATGCACTGGCCATATAACTAGAAGAACCACCAACCGATGGGAAAGAAAGGTCGACTAGATTGAGTGACGAACTTGCAAGATATTAAGGAAGTCGATGGATGCAGGTGCCTAAGTTCAGCTGGGGACTTGTGAAGAGCTGTAGTGATAATGATGGTGATGAACAACAATTACAATAGGTGTAATAGTGCTCGAAAGTGGCTCGAATTGGTTAGTATAAATATACGCACACTGGCGGTGCGACTACCATTTTAACCCCCGACGAAAACAGATTGGTGTTATAAGTTTGTAGTGTATGTCTGTGTATCTGCGTGTCTGTCCGTATCATCATAGCTCCCTAACGAATGAACCGTTTTTGATAAAATTTGTTTTCGTTTAAAAGGTGTCTTAATCGAGAGTGTTCTTAGTTATGTTTCAAGAAAATCTGTTCAGAAGATCACCAGTCCTTTTTGTTTCGAGGGTTTATTAAGTTTTTAATTTAAGTTATATTTTCAGAACTTGGCTATACTCTGTGTACCTATAGACCCTATAGCCTGAGAGCTGGCGACGAATTTTGGGAAGGTACTTTGGACAAGTTGAAATTGTGAAAAAATATAATTTCGTCAATTGGCGAATCCAGTCCCGCGAGTCTGGCAGAGCGTTTGCGGTTATTGTGTTACTGCGCAGTATATAACATTTGCAAAAAAAAATTCCAAAAAATGTTCTTTTGACAACTTTGATTTCATTTTTATCTTTTAATTTAGTTTTTATATAATTAAAAAAAATTTGTCTGTCTGTGTTTCTGTCTGTCAGTTTGTTTCGGCTAATCTCTGAAACCTCTGACCGATTTTGGCGCACTTTCACTGGCAGATAGCTGATGTTGTAAGAAGTAACTTAAGCTACTTTTATTTTAGAAAAAGAATAAGGCTTCCACGCAAAAAAGTAAACCCATGACATCCAATCGTAATTAATTACGTGCGGGCGAAGTTGCGGGGAACAGCCAGTTTATAATAGGATTCAATACCTCTGTAAGGGTATATAGGGTATATACAACTGGGTGAAATACGTGCCATGTCTCGACAACAATGTCCTACTGGCAACTACTGGTCAGCTTTGTTATTTTAGATAAGAATCATTAATGAATTACCATAATAACTAATTTTTTTTATACAATAAAGGAGAGAAACAGGTACACAATCCACCTGATTGTAAGTGGATGCTGCGGCCCATAGAAATCTACATTTATCCTCGATTATGAATCGAAATGAACATGCGTTTTACCCATGATAACTAAGCGAGAATGCCTCGTTACCAGTAAAAAAGGACTCCGGTTCTTTACACTCACCAATAGAAACAACATACTGCTTTCACCCTGGTATTCTGCCAAAGCGTGGCCCTACCACGTTAAATTGTCTCATTGCCTTTATTTGCCATAGTTGGCATGCTTGGCAGGCGGGTTGGAAACCGCAGTTTTTTATAATTTTGAGCGGTTATCAGGAAGACGCTAGCCCATCTCCTGTTTCAGTTTCTCCCGTTCGTCTCTTACGACACTTACGGGATCGAATGTAGGTGTGGGTGATTCTCTCACGAATGAGTCGACTCGACAGTAGAAGGACCATGCCCTCGCAGAATACCAGCGTAAAATATCAGCTTAACGCTGCTATGTTTCGTAAGGTGAGTGTAGAGATACGGATACTCCTTTTGCTGGAAACGAGGCATTTCATCTTAGTCCTCACGGCTGACAACGCATCTGCATTTTGATTGGTAACCGAACAAAAATGTAGATGGGGCAACAATACCACTCCTTTACCATCACGTGCACTGTGTGCTCGTTTATCACCCTCATTCTACATAAAAAAAAATAGCTCGTTGTTGCACGAATGGCTTGGTTCCGGAATACCAGCGTGAGATCAGAATAATGCCATGTTACGTACGGTGAGGATAGAGAACCTGAGACCCTAATAACTGGAAATGAGGCATTTCAATTTAATCCTCAGGGATGACAATGCATCTGCATTTAGATTCTTAACTGAGGATAAATGCAGATATCTATGGGTCACAGCATCCACCTACCATCAGGTGAACTGTGCGACACCCTTATTCTATAAAAGAATATAAGTTATATGAATGTGGCTGGGCTACTTTCAGCAGTGGAATTGTGTTGCACTTGCACTATAATGAAAGGTATGCTTGAATTGCAATGAATAACTTTCTATGGCATCGCCGGGAATTGAAACCTGGTTGTTCGCGTACTATCAAATTAAAAGGCTTGCGTAGACTATCAGATATCAGCTATATGATAGTCTAATAGTTCTTCAATGTCATCTTCAGGTCCAAAACCTCCGAAGCCACGTCCAGCGAGCTCCGACCACCTGCACCCTGAGCCTCTGGTGGAGTGCGTGGTTCTGCACCAGCCGCCGTCTCACAGCCTCGACGTTATCTTCGTACATGGACTTTATGGTAATAAGAATAACGTGCCAGCTGTGTTACTTGCTAGCATGTCGATTGCTACACGGTATGCCGGTCGTGACGGGGGGCCGGTGTCGGCCGGGCCCCCGCCATGTAAATATGTCGTCGTCAACTTGTCATGTATGGTTATCAATGGATTATAAAATAAAATAATTATTGCATGCCTTAAGCGCGAAGCGCGCAAGTATTTTCTGCTAGGGCCTAAAAATTAAGATTCCAACGTTATGTCGCATGAAATCGTATCTAGCAATCATATTATACATAAGTGATATAAAAAGCACACTGTCAGAAAGATAAATGATTGTTGAACTTATTAAATTTATTTTTTAAATCGATTAATTGCTATTTTTACATAAAAAAGGGGTTTTAGTGGCTTGTGGTGTGGATTTATCAAGTCCGCATGGCGGCGTAAACACGATAACTTTAGAAAATATCAATTAATCAACTCAATCTATTTTTAAAACTCTTCGTCTATCATGTGGGAAGCCATGGAATGTAAATGGCAGTTTAACTTTGTTTTGTTTAGTTATAATTAATTTTGTCCGGCTAAGAAATGGCATAATTATCGGTGGATTGAGAGCCTTGTATTAATTTATTTTACTAAATAGGCTCCGAGCCACAGCCACAGAGTACTTTATTTACTTCGGGCTCAAATGCCGTCGTGAGTGGTCGTTTGTTTTTAAGTATGTTACCACACTAATCGATCGATCGTCGATCGATGGTATCGATCGCTGATGGAATGGACTAGTCGACGTCGATCGATAATTTCCAATAGTATCTAGTAGCATCGATCGATCGTAGAATGGATTGGTCGAGGTTGATCGAGCTGCTTGATTATTCGAGGACCCGTCGACCGCATAGATACTGAGGACGCGCCCACACCCACATCGATTAACTGTCTATCGATGATTGAACAACGTTTTATCGACCAGTATCCGTCGATCAGCTAAAGACACCACACCAATCGATCAATCAAGAACAAGAGCGTCTTTCTTCTTCTTTTTCTTTAAACATGTAAAAGGCAACTAATGGAAGGTTGGGTTTGTAAATGTTTAGGCATGAGCTAGCCACCAGCCGCTTCTTCACCATCTTCCGTCTAAACCCATATTGTTTGAAGAATAACAAATTGGCACCAAAAATAGTTACAGGCTTTTATCAGTCTGGGATATTTTTTTCAACCGACTTCAAAATGGAGGAGGTCTTCAATTTGACTGTATTTTTTTATGAGCTCTCTTCGAGGGAACCGATTTTGATGATTCTTTTTTTATTTGAAAGCTGGTGCTTCTCATGTGGTACCATTATTATAAATTTAATCAAGATCTGACAAGTAGTTTAAGAATTATACTTAATAATGCGTATTTAATTGACTTCGATGACATTGATGATGTTCTCATTTTATTTATATGGAAGTCGGTTGTACAACATTTTTAACTTTACCACAAGTTAAACACTAGCAATGCAATTACATTAAATTACATTGGTAATATTCCCTCATTAACTAGTCCTGGTAAGCTTAAAATGCTTGTGTTAGAAGTGGTTCACGACACTAACCAAGAAGTATATATATATATATATTGCTTTTTTTACAGTATAAGCGTGATAAACGTGCACACAGTCCATCTTATGGCAAATGAAAGTTGTACATACATCAATCCTCCATAAAGAATCAAAATGCAGATGCGCTGTCAACCCCGAGGACTAAAATGGAATGCCTCTGTTCCAGTACCAAGAGTCTCCGGTTCTCTACACTCAGCATACAAAACACAGCAGCGTTCAGTATTATACCTCTATTTTACGTTGGTCGATCGAGCCGATCCATTCGCGCCACAATTATAATATAGCTATATGGCGATAACACTTTTTATACACCCATCCGACTCTGGTTTCGTCCATTAATGCTAACCTTCGATAATTTCAGGGTCGCTTGGAAACACGTGGCGCCAAGGCGAGTGGAGGGCGAACTATAAAAACGATCCAGTAAAGGTTCCTTTGAGACGCCCAAACTCAATTCCCACAGCGTGCGCTTGCAAATGGGATAAAGAGGAGAACTTAATCGAGAAATGCTCATGTGATTTCATAAACGATTTTAAAGATTCGAATAGTATAGACGATAACAATTATAGTCTAAACAGAAGACGAGAAGAGTACGCCGCGAAAGAAGATTTGAGATTTTACGAGGAATTTCGAAAGGTTTTACCTGAAGACAATCTGTTTATAACAGAGAAATTCTACAATAATACACTGCTTGGTCAAGTTGAAATTCTAGGGAATTTTGAAACGCAGGCCAATTTCGTGCGAGATCTGTTTGAGAAAACTAATCGAGATATAGACTGTGATATTAAGGATGTAGATGAGAAAAGTCATTTACGAGTGGACTGCAAGTGTGGAAGTGAAAAGTGCGAGGTGGGATGTGGTTGCACCTGTGACCACTGCTACTCGTCGTGTTGGCCCAGGGATTGGATCAAAGTGGACTTCCCCGGAGCTAGGGTCATTTCTATCAATTACACTAGCGACCCGTATTTATGGCGACCGTTGTGGATTAAGGAAAACAAACGGTGAGTAGTTTAGAGATGGTTTGATTTCCAAATTTTTTAATTATTTAAAATAGTTTTTTTTTGCAGTTAATAACAAATTCATTGTTTCGATAGTGTTGGTGTTTATGGGCCTCAGCATCCATCTATCAATAGGAAAACTGTGTACTCGTTTGTCTGCCTTGCGATATTACTTAGTCTATTCAAAAGGGTCAAATCTGGTGAAATAATTTACATTAAAAAAAGTAAAAACCAACGTCGAGAAGACAAAATGTACCGAAAAATTAAAGTTCCATCTTCAGAACCTATTAAATTTTATTGCATTCCCTGAAAGCGAAGGGACAAAGGTTGTGCTTTGTCGACTTGACAAGGTCACGTTACCCGCTTTCATTAAATTCGGTTCAAATATATGTTCGAACCGGAATGACCGTATTTTTATATGTAGAGAGTAACGAACCATTCTTAGTTCTCAGTGGTTACACCGTATGTGAATTTCGATTAAATTCATGATAAAAAATATGGTATAAAATAATAATATACCTTATATTATTATTTTTACCGCACTAATACGCGAAGAAACGCACATTAATAGGAGGAAATACTAATGATTTTACTTATATTTGCAAGACGTATTATTATAAAAAAAGTACAATAAAAATTTTACCGTGGCTGTCCTATACTCTATGGCAAAAATACTGGACGAAATGACTTTATTATTATTTTATTTTATTTTTGCAAGATGTAATAAAACATTATTCGCCATTACACGTAATAATATACTCTTTCTCTTTTTAATGTAAGTCGTTATATAATAATGTATCTTTCTCTTTTGTACCTACATTATTACCATACTTTCATCGCCTTTCACATCAACTTGCGTTGTTATTTAATATGTATCCTTACAAATTTTTTGTTAAGTAAAATTATTAAATTAATGAATTGCCAGAAATAACCTGAGAGTTTATTAATAAAGAATATCTACCTTAGGCAGCGGCTTCACGATCGCGCTGATCAAATGATGACGCAGCTTCTGGAACTCGGTGTTGGAGACAAGCCCATAATATGGGTCGGTCACTCGAAGGGTGGGCTATTCATTAAGCAGATCTACTGTGAAGGTATGAAATGATTTATTTGGGTACTTAATGGAACAATGGTGCTTATCGCACGGTACAAATTTGGCGGATGGGAGCTAGGCGAGAAAAAGTGTAAGCTTTTTTCGTCTTAACCCCTTTTCTATAGTGCGAGCGAGATAGAATAATATCCATCTCCCTCGCACTTTTTCTTATCTAGCCATGAAAAAAATTTGTTTTAAATGACGCTTCATTTTAATAGTCGCTAGTAATTCATTTATTTGTAATTGTTAACCAATAATATAATACATTTATCGTGAACAATTACATTAGGTGTTTGCGCAGATTACTTTCGTACCATTTTAAATCCTATTGTTGAAATTAAAGATTTGTCATAAACCACGTAGTCAGCTGTAGCAGCATTAATTAAACATTGTAATTACAGCACATGAAGCGTATTTAAAAATTAACAAAAACGAAAATAACGACGTGTCTACCATTGAGAAATTTGTAATTGAAGAAAGCAATAAAATAAACGAGGAAGACATCTCTAATGGAAACTTAGAAGGTGATACTGAGAACAATATAATAACAATAGAAAATGCTACGAATGAGGCTAAATTGACCAATTTAATAAATTACGTTTTCGGCGGTCAAAATGAATGTGTAACAAATGATGTACTAGATGTAAATAAGAACAATTTAAAGACTGTAGGTAACACAGAAAAAAACGGAGAAACTGGTAAGATAGAGACTGGACAAGAACGTGAAGACGAAACCAAAGAACAAAATGAACAAATATCTTCTGATAATGAAGGTAAAAATTTGTTATATTTTCATCATAATACTATAGTAATATCGTTAGTACAGACTAAATAGAAGATTCTACCCGAATAGTGTAACATCTGCACGACTTGACGGATTGAGGTGATATTCACATATTATATTGCATGCCGAGGGCAAGCGCATAGGTATGTTCTACTAGCGCCTAAAAATCAAGGTTCCAACGTTTTGTCGCATGAAATCGTATCTAGCAATCATATTATACATATAAATGATATAAAAAGCACATTGTCAGAAAGATAAATGATTTTTGAACTTATTAATATTTCCTTTAAATGGATTAATTGCTATTTTTACATAAAAAAGGGGTTTTAGTAGCTTATGGTGTGGATTTATCAAGTCCGCAAGGCTTGTAAACACTCTTAACTTTTTATTTGTTTTGTTGCGATAATGGTTCTTAGCCATGAATCCGATAATTGGAGTTGTTAGTTGTTTGTTAAGTTATTAACAAATTCTATATTTTTCAACCGATTTCGAAAAAGGAGGAGGTGCTCGATTCATCGGAATATTTATTTTTTATGTATGTTCACTGATTACTCGAACACGCCTAAACCGATTAGGAAATTTTTTTATTCGTTTCAAAGGGTACAGTTCCCAGGTGGTCCCATTTAAATTTTATCGAATTCGGCTAAGCGCTTTTAAAAAAATCAACAATAAATTATATTTATATTGAAGTCGGTTGAAAAAAAAATTTAGTTTTATCACTTGTGGTCAAAAAACTATTATTCGTCATGTTGGTTTAGTGCAAAAAAATCTAAGCATTTTCTCCAAATGAATATGTGGTTCTTCGGTCGAGCTATTAATACAGAGTTCTTTCCGATCAGCTTGACTCACTGCGTAGAGATGTTGCATCTCTTTACGTATTTTATCGCATATACCACGGGGAGTGCTCTGAGGAATTGTTCGGACTAATTCCAGCCGCTCAATTTCACCATCACACATCGCGACAAAACTCGCGATACCATCCATACCATCTGGATGATTGGCGGTCCACCACTGTGCGATTAAGAAGATGTTTTCTTCCTCGCACGACTTCCTTGTGGAATCGATTACCATCAGCGATTTTTCCGGATCGATACGACTTAGGGACCTTCAAGAAAAGGGCCTACTCCTTTTTAAAAGGCCGGCAACGCATCTGCAATTCCCCTGGTGTTGCAGTTGTTCATGGGCGGCGGTAGTCACTTACCATCATGTGAGCCGCATGCTCGTTTGCCCCCACTCCTATTAAAAAATTACAATGAGCTGAAAAAGACCGTGAATTTAAAGTAAAACTCATCACGCCACCCACTAAAAAGGGCAGAACAACGCCTGCCGGGCCAGCTAGTAGTTTTCTGTATCCACTAAATCCATTTTCATCCTCAAATGTATCCGTACTTACTTGAAGGAAGTGACCACTAGGAACTCACAGTCTGACAAATGACGGAATATCTACCTAAGACTGACAGGAATCAGGGATAAAATGGTAGCAGTGGACGGTTCCCTGTTGCTGTGAATAGGCTTACTGCATAATATTTTGATACAAACTTTTCTGTACTTCTTGATTATAAATAACAAAGTCTCCTAGAAAAAATATAAACAACAATTAAAGTTGGTAAAAATTACCTTGCGTACGTACCTAGTTTGAAGAGCAGCTTCCGCCCTCCCTCGATTGCGTGCACTATCCCCATCACCACTATCCCAGCACCACCAAAAACTAGACTGTACAACCAGTGCGTGTTGCCAGTGATGACCTATGGAACTGAAACGTGGTCCTTCACTGCTGGCCGTATGAGGAAGCTCAAGGTCGCTCAGCGAGCTATGGAGAGGGCTATGCTCGGGGTTTCTCTGCGTGATAAACTTAGAAATGAGGATATTCGCAGTAGAACCAGTTACCGGCATAGCTCAAAGGTTCAATAAGCTGAAGTGGCAATGGGCCGGCCATATAGCTCGAAGAACTGACAACCAATGGGAAAAAAAGGTTCTCGAGTGGCAGCCTCGTACCGGCGGACGAAGTGTAGGGCGTCCCTCCACTAGATGGAGTGACGACCGGATAAGACATGCAGGAAGTCGATGGATGCAGGTGGCTCAGGACCGTGCTTTTAACAGTAGACTTGTGAAGGGCTGTAATGGTGATGATGACAATAAATACACTTATAATGCTGTTAATAAATGCTTCTTTTAAGTTTATTATATAGTTATGTTAAAGGTTGTGATAATAATTTATTGTTAGATTAACACAGTTTTTCCTTTCACTTTGTGGTCCCTGCTAACTACAAAAAAATCAAAGTAGTCGCTGGTCAAATAAAGGTTGGGAAACCCTTGTATAGAGGAGAGCCAGTATAGTTACAGGCTGTGAGACATTCTATCTTAGTCCTTAGTGGGGTAAAATTTAGAACCGTTTAGCAGGAGGGGGGAGGGAGAGTGCGTTGAGGGGAGAGGGGTGTGGCTCCTACACCCTGACATCACTCCCATGAAAATGTAATACATCGTTCTTAGGAAAAATTAAAAAGGAAAACCTAGGCCTAACCTCAAAAGGAACACATTTATCTCTTACTAGCAGGATGGGTTTTCTGACGGTAGAAAATAACCACGAAGGCTGTGGCGGGAGCTGCACTGCGTTTCGCTCCCGCCACAGCCTTCTAAGCTAACTCAACTGAAAGGATTTCTGGGTGCAAAGTACCTATGTAATATTCATTTCATTACTGTTTGTATACATAATTTATTATGCGAGTATAGACCACAGAAGAATAAAAATACCATAGAAGTATAATAATGTGACACTAGACTTTGACATGGTCTCACGTCCTTGTCACACACAAAATCATGTATGCTATATCCATCTTTCACAGTAATATTGCATTGCATTTTTCCATGTTTTACCCCTTGTAAGGTTATAACAGGATTTTTTATTTTCTCAGAAGCAGTGCATTACCTTAAAGCAAGTGGTATTGTTATAATTGGGGACCAAACTTCTACCAAATACAACAGTTTACTTCTCCCAAGTCCTACCAAATGATTCTAAATCCAACTCCTCAGAGGTGACAACGAATCTGTAGCCTTCGTATTTTGAATTTGGCTGCTGGTATCCATGGACGCAGTCGCTACTACTACTCTGGAAGTTAATTTGTCACTTCAACTTTATAAAAAAAATATATCCAATTTCTTTTTCATCTTGCTTATATGTTTTAGAAGATCCAAAGGAATTGACGCGAAAAGCAAACCTGTGGAAGAACAGCGCCGGTTTCATGTTTTATTCTGTTCCTCACCGCGGATCTCCACTCGCCGACATTAAAACTCCAATCACAGCCAGGAGTATCGAATTATTAGAAATTTGTAAAGGTACATGTCTTTATAACTGATCTCATTTATTTAAATTTTAATAGTGCAATGGATGTGGTGGTCAGAGTAGAATGTGATCCAAATATGTCGTCTCGACGGCGTCTATGAAGTTGGTGCAAGACGCTTCGATTACCTTTACAGTCTATTAAAGTCCACTGGTGAACATAGTCCTACCCCATAGACTACATCATAGGGGGGATATTTGGCAGAGTTGCCCCACGCTTGGCGAGCGGGTTGGCCACCGCAGTATTGTATTTTTAGTCGTTGTTAAGAAGACGCTGCTGTCCATCTCTTGATTAGTTTACCCTCTGTCGCCTCTTACAAAATCCACGGGATAATATGGGAAATAGTGGATACTCTTGCACCGCAGGTACACAGTCATGACGCTGCGATTACTGTTGCAGAATTATGACTGCGACTGCGATGGATATTCTTTTAAAATCATAAAATAGGTAAAATAAATTATTTTTTATGATTATCTTAATTCTAAAAAGCGCCATATTAATAAATCTCACCCCGGCTGTGCTTGTGTGGGATCTATTAAAGTGGCATTATTTAAATTTCAGTATATAGCATAAAATGACACATACGGGATGATATGAGGTAGTGGATTCCCTTAGACCGCTACTACCCGTCGACAGAGAGAAAATAAACGGGCTGCGGGTACCAATCCGCCTGCCGAGCGTGGCAGCTATGGCAAAATCAATCAAAAGTAATGGATAATAGATTTAAAATTCCAATATCAATAATTGAGAAGCAACGTCACAGTTGCGAGACTTCTGGTATTACGATCCCCAATCTGCCTAACAAATATGGTGATTAAGGCACATCCTTATAATCCGAAAGGATTTTGATTATGGTAGAGGTTCATGTCCAGCAGTAGACTAACCAAAATCGGCACCAAGGGGAGCCCCGGGAGTAGTTCGTCGCCCCCCCCCCCCCCTCCACTAGACTCAAAAAATGTAGTCAAATACAAAGTAACTCGTCTTATTTATTGCACAGTCAAGTCACATTGGTATTTGTACCTTTCTTATTACAATCGCTTTGTAGAAGTAAATGAGAATAGACAAGTGTAAAGCTTCATGTGCTTTTGTACCTACACTTTCCCATTCTTTATTATCAACTTGCTCCACCCTAGACCATCGGCTGGCGACGCCCTTGAGACTAACTAAGGACATTTTGTATTCCAGACTGTTCCCTGGTGATGTCCCTTCAAGAGCGCTGGCTCAAAGCCACCTCAACCGTGAAGCCGGCAGTAAGCAGCCTGGTCGAGACCTGCAAGACCCTTATGTCGCTTCTTTGGCTGAGAATTGTCAGCGTAGACTCTGCTGGTCAGTTCTGATTCCTAACTTTGTACAAATCTTTTTGGATTCACGTTTCGCCAAATAAGATCTACAAAAGAGACCTAATTATGAATTTCATTTCTAGATCCCGGCATCGGAGCCCTATCAGGCGTATCAGTGGATCATCGGGAGATCTGCAAACCATCGAGCAGGAAATGTCTTTTATATAGAGAACTTAAAATCCTTATACAAAATGCTTTGAGCAAGCATCGACAACAATAACCAATATTAACAATTAAGGACCCATAATGTACCTTGGGGTACACCCATTAAATCGTAAATCTGTGATTGTTTTGATTTTAAGTGCAATAATAAAGGTGTTAATGGACTTTGTAGCTTCAATGTATTGTAAATATAATAATGTAATAAATCTTGTCTCTTGATTTAAAATGGAATATCTTTAAGATAGAGCTTCCATCATGTTTCCCTTACCCATTTTTCCTACAACATTTCGAATACAAAATAGCGTTGTTCTACAACAATATCAGAGTTATTGCAAGAGTCATGATAACGTGTCGGTTCAACTAAGAAAAGACCGTGATCTTACTTAATATAAGCGTGAAATAGCGAAAACATGTTAGGTATTTCTTATAATATGAAACTTTCAATGATACCCATGACACTTTAATGGCGCCTTTAGGTCTAGTGAGAGAACAAAACACATAAACTAAACTTAATAAACCTAAATATTTTGTTTCGCCTCATCCTCTTGTTTAACGTTACGTTATGTGTTGTTAAGCTTTCTTTTCAATCCAGTTAACCTCATTAAGCCATTAGGCATTAAGCCTGCGAGCTGTGACAATTATTGATTTGTTACTCATTTAAAATAAGATACAAGATAAAAACAAATTTTGCGTATTATTAGCCATGCTTGAATACTACCCCACCTGATGGCAAGAGGTGATGCAGCCGAAGATGGTAAGCGCATTGACAATCTAATTAGATGGAAATATAGAAGCAGACATCAAATCATTACGAATCATTAGAGAATACCGTTCAGTTTTTCTAATGTAACTTTCAGTTCTTCTATATATAATACTAGCTGTTCCCCGCGACTTTGCCCGCTTGTAATTTAGGGTTTTAATTTTGTTGCGCGGAACTCTAAATATATTTCTAAAATATAAGTAGCTTAAGTTACTCCTTATAACATGAGCTATCTATCAATGAAAGTCCCGTCAAAATCGCTCCAGCCGTTTTGGAGATTAGCTGGAACAAAGAGACAGACAGACAAAAATGTTAAAAATTGTGTTTTTGTGATAAGTACCGTATGTGATAAGTACTTTCATATGCAATTAGTAAAAAGCTGTTATTTTTTATATATATTTTTAGATAATTAACCAAGAGCCGAATTAAAACTTATTGTAGCTATAAAAATATTAAGCAAACTTATTTTAAGGGATAAGCGCCTGTGAATCATATATATGTAAATTATAAATTTAGACTTTCATGAGACGGACATATTCTGACGGTTGGTATTATGAAAACAAAACATCATAGTGTCAGCTACTAAAGTCAGGGAGCATTAAACCATAGTTAAATATGTGATTTAATAAGTTTTATTGTTAATAGAAAAATAAAAAGTATATACATCTTGCGGTTTTTTATTACAATAAAACACCTGAACATCCATTACATATTCCAGTCAGACTTCTAGTTAGTTTCTTCGTTGTTTTTGACAACTAAAAATGATGTTATAAGGAAACGCTGTGATTATTTTATGTGCGCAATTTATCAGCAGTGGAATAATTGTAGGGTTTATTTTGTTACCAGGTTAAAAATTTATTTAACTATTATTCTACGTCTGTTACATTAGATTGTTATTATTACATTATATATTATATATCTCCTCCCCCATGAGGCAATCTATGGGGAGGCCTATTTTCAGCAGTGGATTTTTATAGGTTGTAATGGATAGATGGATGGATATTACAATACATATTATACAGTCTCAAAGTCTTCAATTTCAACAAATGACACGAGTGGCTTATGGTAGCTAAAGTATATAATAGATAAAAGCAAAACTATATACTGTATTCTATCTCATTTTCTTACAGGCTAACTTCTATAGATTTATTATATGTTTGTCTCTTTTTAGCGTCGCTTTTTCGTTTCATCGAGTTTCAAATTCATTCCAAAAAAGTGTGAAAAATACAAAGAAAAAAAACTTACACGTCACCAATAGACAAGACAGGATACGACACCAAACGGCCTTTAGCCAAAAAAAAAACTACATGAAATTATTTTATTAATTTATTTGTACCTATATCACTATAACATAAAACTTATCGTAACAATAGAAATTATCTTACACATTAAATAAATCTTAGATGTAATTCTGTTTTTAAATATCAAATATTTTATATTGAAAATAATTGAATTAAGTGCACAAACACTGTAACTTTGTGTTATACAAAAATATCAAATATTACTGTAAAATTATTGCCAACTTAATTCCATAATACAAACTTCAAATTAATTTTCTAAACAAATGTTTATGGAACAGAAGAAATCGACACACAAATCAAACTCAACCTTGCAACTGTTACAAGTGAATTTTTTTTAAACGTGGTAGTTGAACACAACAACATTAAAAGGGAAACAGGAAGTTTTACAAATTATTACGTTGAACAGATTAAAAAAATAACTGATTGGTCCTCCCAAATTTTACCTTTGGCATAACCAGAATTGACTTAAACTTGGGAGACTACCGTAAGAAACAAAACCTTAGATAATGGACTTTAATTTAAAAAAAAATATTAAAAGCTAAAGAAAAAACAGAAACTAAATTATGACCTATTTTTAATGTATGTAAAATATTAAAATAATTAAAAATACTGTTAAAACTGAAAAATACTTAAAAACGCAGTCATAACATTCCGATTTATTTGGCAAAAGTGCGATCCGTAAAGCTGACTGTCCATCTGTCACCTAAATTGATCACAGCCTATCACGTATAACACAATGCAGGCTTTGTGATGGATTTATTAATTTTATCGTAATTCTACAGTTGAAGGAATTCGGAGAACTACCCTGATGCATTGAAAATGATAAATTGTTTTTCATAATCGAGGTACGTAACAGTTATAGGTATCGAATTAAGCACATAAAAAGATTTTGAAAAGTAGGCAGGGTACAAAATCGGAAACAATTACATTTCAACTTAATCACGGCGAAGCAAATGAATCAGCCACGACTAGGATTGCACGAAGAGAGGACGTGCGCTATCGTCTTGTGGAATCATACAAAGCTGTACAACCGCCATGTGGTTTGCTTTTCAAACTAAGATTCTAATTTATTTTGGAACGGAAGTTCTTATATTTTTAGGTCACTTTCTATAGTGCGAGCGAGATGGAATAAGATCCATCTCCCTCGCACTTTTTATTATCTTGCATTGAAAGAAATATTATGTTAAATGGCGCTTCATTTTAATGGACACTAGTAATTCATTTATTTGTCAATAATATAATACGTTTATCAATAATAATATACTACGAAAGGGACGTTGTTCCAACCGAGTGTTCAACGATACTCACGCACGATTTTTTATTTATCGACTAGCTGTTTCCTGCGACTTACTACTGTAAGTCGCAGGGAACAGCTAGTCGATCAGCCAATCGTAACAAACTAGTAGTAGTAACTACTAATTTATTACGATTGGATTTTATGAGTTTTACGACTTACTACTACCACTAATTTATTACGATTGGATTTCATGAGATTTACGACTTACTACTACCACTAATTTATTACGATTGGATTTCATGAGATTTACGACTTACTACTACCACTAATTTATTACGATTGGATTTCATGAGATTTACGACTTACTACTACCACTGATTTATTACGATTGGATTTCAAGAGATTTACGACTTACTACTACCACTAATTTATTACGATTGGATTTCATGAGATTTACGACTTACTACTACTACTAATTTATTACAATTGAATTTCATAAGTTTTAATTTTTTGCGCGGAACCCTTATTCTTTTTCAAAAACAAAAATAGGCTAAATTATTTCTTATAACATCAACTATCTGCCAGTGAAAGTTCCGTCAAAATCGGTCCAGCCATTCCGGAGATTAGCCGGAACAAACAGACAGACAGAAAGATTTTTTTTAAATATTGTGGTTTTGTTATAAGTGCCGTATATATTTTCATATGCATTTAGTAAAAAGCTGTTATTTTGACATTACAAAGAGATACTTCAATTTTATTTATTTGTATAGATTACATTTTTACTATATGTATAGATATCGGGTTCTATAATACGACCTGAAAAATTATGCTTAAATTGTAGTTGTTGTGAAATTATCTCGCAATAATGATTTCGGTAGAGCAGTTCAATATTATATACCGTCTCTATGTGGTCATGTTCGGAAATACGAAGTTACAAAATTACTCAATTTTCTTCAAAATTTCTTTGAAGCAAAAGTAGCCTTATTATCAATGATATGCACTACAAATCAAATGTCATATGTTCCGATCCGCAATTCAACTATAGTCATGAACCATACTCTAGCTTTATTTAATTTTTAATTCGTAGAATGCCAAACAGACGCGACAAATAGAATCGTTCGTGATTAAGAGATAAATTTCTTAATTTTCCTCAAATATCCTTTAAAGTAAAATCAGCCCTATTGTCAATGATACGAATTGCAAACTCAAATACCGTGGGTCCAAACTTTTCTTCATTATAGTGGCAGAATGCACAGAATATACAACAAATGGAATCGTCATGATTGGCTTCAGAAGCAATTATTTTTTTATTTTAATTTTTACGTGCCATTTAAGTGATTTCTCTGGAATTTATTCTGTGATATAAATCCAATTTTTTTCCTAGGAGTGCACTACTACCTCTATTGTTGTGATTTTGAGTATCATATAATTCCAATTTTCTTCGTAGGATGGCACTACTACCTCCATTGTTGTGATTTTGAGTATCATATAATTCCAATTTTCTGCGTAGGATGGCACTACTACCTCCATTGTTGTGATTTTGAGTATCATATAATTCCAATTTTTTTTCTAGGAGTGCACTACTACCTCTATTGTTGTGATTTTGAGCATCATATAATTCCAATTTTCTGCGTAGGATGGCACTACTACCTCCATTGTTGTGATTTTGAGTATCATATAATTCCAATTTTTTTCCTAGGAGTGCACTACTACCTCTATTGTTGTGATTTTGAGCATCATATAATTCCAATTTTCTTCGTAGGATGGCACTACTACCTCCATTGTTGTGATTTTGAGTATCATATAATTCCAATTTTTTTCCTAGGAGTGCACTACTACCTCTATTGTTGTGATTTTGAGCATCATATAATTCCAATTTTCTGCGTAGGATGGCACTACTACCTCCATTGTTGTGATTTTGAGTATCATATAATTCCAATTTTTTTCCTAGGAGTGCACTACTACCTCTATTGTTGTGATTTTGAGCATCATATAATTCCAATTTTCTGCGTAGGATGGCACTACTACCTCCATTGTTGTGATTTTGAGTATCATATAATTCCAATTTTTTTCCTAGGAGTGCACTACTACCTCTATTGTTGTGATTTTGAGCATCATATAATTCCAATTTTCTTCGTAGGATGGCACTACTACCTCCATTGTTGTGATTTTGAGTATCATATAATTCCAATTTTTTTCCTAGGAGTGCACTACTACCTCTATTGTTGTGATTTTGAGCATCATATAATTCCAATTTTCTGCGTAGGATGGCACTACTACCTCCATTGTTGTGATTTTGAGTATCATATAATTCCAATTTTTTTCCTAGGAGTGCACTACTACCTCTATTGTTGTGATTTTGAGCATCATATAATTCCAATTTTCTTCGTAGGATGGCACTACTACCTCCATTGTTGTGATTTTGAGCATCATATAATTCCAATTTTCTGCGTAGGATGGCACTACTACCTCCATTGTTGTGATTTTGAGTATCATATAATTCCAATTTTTTTCCTAGGAGTGCACTACTACCTCTATTGTTGTGATTTTGAGCATCATATAATTCCAATTTTCTTCGTAGGATGGCACTACTACCTCCATTGTTGTGATTTTGAGTATCATATAATTCCAATTTTCTGCGTAGGATGGCACTACTACCTCCATTGTTGTGATTTTGAGTATCATATAATTCCAATTTTCTGCGTAGGATGGCACTACTACTTCTATTGTTGTAATTTTGAGTAACATTATTACATACCGGGGTACTTTCTTCATATTTAAAGTCTGGGTCTTTATTCAAGTAATTGACTTTCTTACCATGGTTTGAACTTAGGGTACTTGTAGATTTATTTGTTTCCTCTGTTTGTAAATCATTTTCTACGTTGTTATCGGAATTACTTTCTAATTCAACGTTTGCACTGATAACGAAATTTGTGAAGTTGGTTTTGTTTTGTAGTGTATCTCGATTGACGATTTTTTTACTATAATTACACACAAAACCATGTGATTCTTTATTAGTTACTTTATCTATACCAATTCTAGAAGCTAAGCTTACATTTGAATTGTTTAGAAAGTCTAGATTAGTATGAGTTGTAGAGGAAGCTGCCTTATTATTGTTATAGTTATTTCTACAATTGCTTAGTGAACTAATTTGTAGTGTGTTTATGTTTAAATTACTTATGGCTGCTATTAAATCGTCTACAACTCGCTTTCTCTTACCTAAGTTACATTCTAAATTTGGTTGTTTATTTCTTTCTTTGTCTTTATTTGATATTAAGAAATTATATACTGGATTACTTTTTACATTTCTCTGATTAGCAATCTCAGCTTCCGTATTAAAACGATGTAAATCATTTATACAATCAAAGTTATTCTTTTTTTCGTTTATATTAAACCTAAATTTAAAATTTGTACCGAATGGATTGTTTGCTCTACAACCCAACCAATTTGAAGTATTTGAATCTACTTTAGAACAACTTACACGTTCTTTATCATTGCTATCAACTTCTAAAGAGTCTTTACTAAACTTTGGATCAACTCTTAAACTATTTTGTAATAACTTATTGTTAGTTCTACTCTCAGTTTGACTTATTTCATTGTTTTCATAATTTGACGCCCCTATTTCAATCGTTTTTTTACTACTACCCGCAAAAACCTCGGCTACATTATTATATTCATTTTGTTTGTCTTTTATTGCACATTTTTCAATATTTTCGTCATATTGCGCATAACAATTAATGGAAACATCTCTAAATTCATTCAACTGCGTGGTTCCTGCCTGCACAGTGTTACAAACGCGTAGGTTGTTGTCCGTCTAGGCGAACAGCGCATTCGGATCTGGATTATGTATGTCGCAGACGAAATTATCCTGCTCGATTGGTTTCTTCACCCACCGTCCGAGGTTTGCTTTCTCGAACGCCTCCACCAGACATTCTTTGGCTACCTGAAATATATCGAAAAGAGAATAGGCGAACACGGGCCGACTAAAGAGAATAGAGTTAAGAGAAATACCATCAAAACATTATTGGTTCCAATAGATAGTGTTTTAACCAGTCAGTTTAGGCCAGTCGTAAAATACATGTTTTATGTTTGTTTATATTATGCGATGTATACGTTTATGTTTGTTTATACTATGCGATTCAAATAAGAATACAACCTATCTGGCACCATATTGTGACATAATAGCTGCCAATTCAAATAAGTAAGGTAGGGTGAGCAAAACAGATATTTTTGAAAACCATGAGCGAAAAAGTATTGATCTGAATCCATCACTGTCTGAGTAGTCATCTTTACCATCACTGCTGCATTACCTTATTACTCCACCGATTAGTATCAATATTTTAAATTAATTAATTAAAAATAATTAAGTGTTCAATACATTTGGTAATACCAGGGCTAGAAGAGAGCTAAAGAGAAGCGGTTAAAAAGAAGCGGTAAAAAGCGTTATTTTTTCCGCAAATACACTTTCTTTGCAAGCGGTACTTTTCAAGTGACAGTTGACGGATCGCGGTCATTATGTCCCTATTCTTATTTGAATCGCATTTTACGTAGTAGAGCCATGCTACAACTACATTGTGGTTGTAGCACGAGTGGGTCGGCTCGACCGGGGAAGGAGCACGCTCTCACATAATACCAGCGTGAAAAAGCTTAATGCTGTTATGTTTCGTATGGTGAGTGTAGAGAATTGGAGACCCTTTTTACTGGAAACGAGGCATTCCATTAAGCACCTAACGGCGACAACATATCTGCATTTTGATTCCTTACCGAGGGTAGATTTAGACTTCTATGGCCCACAACATCCACTTATCATCAGATGGACTGCGTGTTCGTTTATCACCCTTTTTCATTGAAAAATTAATGTAACACGGAGCAGGTTACAGGCGCGAGACCTTTGGTCAAGCGTGAATTCGTCTTTACACCGACCGTAACCGTGAATTGATGGTGTTAGAATATCCACTACCCCATTTCACCCCGTGGATGTTATAAGAGGCGACAGTGGGAAACTGAACCAAGAGATGGGCAGCAGTACCTCCTGATAACAGCTGAATAAAAATAAAAAGTGCGGTTGCCAAGCCAACTATGGCAAATATCAACCCTAGGAAGCAATCTATGGGGAGAACACTATATTCAGTAGTGGAATTTTTATAGGCTGTAATCGTAACGGTGATCTCTACACCGGAAGAGAACCATATCTAACTCTGGACTTCTGCGGTCTGGTGAAAAAGTAGATCTAATATAGACATGTGTCATTCATTCAAGTATTGATTCGTCTTACGAACCGGATCATTCGGGTCGATCATTCTCAGTTCAGACGAGTGTCCGTACTCTGTGATATGTGAGACCTGCTCTATAATGTTGGCCGTTGGACGTTACCATACTCTTTGGTCGTAGAGTCTGTCAATCTTTTGAACAATGATAAAGTTCCTGATACCATTCAAAGTCTATTAGCTGATGAAACATTCTTCCGACCATTATATTCCTTTATTTCTGGTGTTCAAGATATATAAAAATGAAAACAACGTGATATTAATCAATAGTGCAAACGCAAACAAACTCTGTGAATCAGTGTGAAAGTGAATTTTTGATGAATGAACCTATCGTCCGTGACAAGACATTTAAATTTTTTAAAGATAAATATACATTGTAACTTCAGGCTCAGAAGGGCTAGAACCCAGAGCCGTAAAGCCAGTTAAAAAATCGTTAGATTCGGAACGTTCAAAAAATTTAATTGCTATCATCAACTTTGATGCGACTCGGGTCACATGAACCAATCATTCACTATTGACACGAGATGTCTAATCTAGTAATACCCCATTCTGCATTGAATGTAGAATTTTTGCTTCAGATGCTTGTAATAGCGGAAATACAGTTTACTAGGTAGTAGCACTCCATTTCTGCCAGGGGTGGTCCGTCTTGGTTTCTACCACCCTCGTTACCTATTTATGGCACCAAGCAGCTGTGCTTGCACTGCTGTGTTCCGGTCTGAAGGGTATAGAGAGCCAGTATAATTGTGTAAATAAAAAAAAATGTAAAACACGCTGTGAGACATTCCATCTTGTTTTTTTTTAAAATAGAATAAGGATGACAAACGAACACATAGTCCACCTGATGGTAAGTAGAAGCTGTGGCCAATAGACTCTATGGGTGTACATCTATCGTCAATTAAGAATAACAATGCAGATGCATTGTCACCTCTGTGGACTAAGATGGAATGTCCCATTTCCAATGAAAAGGATCTCTGCTACTTTACGCTGGTATTCTGTCAGAGCGTGGTCCTACCTCGGTCGAGCCGAACCATTCGTGCTACTACCGTAATGTAGCTGTAAGATAGCTCTACCACGTTTTGTACCTGGAAGATGACAACGTATCCGTGGCCTTTTTAGTTTGAAGTTGGTTGCAGGTATCCAAGTAGTAGTCAATTGTCATCAAGTGGACTGTTGGCTTGTTTACCTAATAGTGTATCATCTTGCGAAAGCCCAAGGCTGGGCAAGTAGTGTTGCCCAAAATCGGTCTTGGTCTTGCAGTCCCAAGACTTGTTCTTGCATTATTGCAAGACCAAGACCAAGACCGCCTAATTTTAACAAGACCAAGACCGACCGTGCAAGATTTGAGCAAGAACAAGTCTAAGCCCGCGAGACTGTTGCGTCTTGCAGTTAGTACGGAGTGTCGTTTCAGAACAAGTGCTCCTTCCATTGTAGGGAGGTTTTACCTTAATCGTCACACATGGCAGACGGAGTGACGATCGCAGTCGCACAAGTGACTACCGTTATCGGTGTAGCGTTTTATTGTAAATCGAAACGCAACAATGACCAATAGCCCGGGCCAATAAAAAAACTCGAATTTAAATAACGGTTCTAGACTTCTTCAATACACAATATCATAGTTTTAACTTAACACAATAGTTAAACTTTAAGATAATATAGAAATCCTGTTTTATGAATTATACGCAATTAATACAATTAAATCAAGATTTTTATTTTGGGAATTCGACTACATCAATTTATTATATACATCACCAAGAGCTCCGGATCTTGGGCGAAAACTCGTTATCGGTCTATTTCACGTGACATAAACAAGATGTTTAGACCGCCATCTATCGGAAACCATAAGAGTTTTTAGTTGCCGCGATTGGCGAGCGCGTCGGCATACGCAGTTTTATATTTTTGATATTATTAGGAAGACACTGCTGCCCATCCCCCGATTTGTTCCCCTCTGTCGCCTCTTACGACAACCAGGGGACGATATAGGGTAGTTAGTGGATATTCTCATCCCTACATGAAACAATTTATTATAAACAATAACTTCTTATCACTTGACACTGGCAAAAATACAATCGTCCGAGTCCATTACCAAAGATTTTAGGTGCATAAGAGTGCGTGTTTTTGCATTGAGTTGAGCTTGGTTGCCATTTGTTATCTATGGAAGACATAATCATCACCTGATAAGTGGTGCAGAGTTGTTTGGCCTCGTTGTAAGGCAGATTCTCCAAATCTGAAGGCACCGACTTGTTAATCACGCCCGGTTCTGTTTCCTGGAAGGTAATATACTAGAATATAATAGATAGTTACAAACGTTGGACACATGCTTAGGCTCTTAATCTGTGAGAGGGTTTTTGGGTCAACGTGCTTACCTTGCTACGTTAAAACCAGAGTCATAGGAAAAGCAGTTATTGGCTTTTTATGTCAAGAAATACTCAGCAGCAACCCGGAGAGGGGAAGTTGAGGGTGTTCCACCCACGCGCCTCAGAAAGCACGTAAAGCCATTGGCTCTGCGCGTTTTTTTTATAGGATAGGGTGACAAACGAGCACACAGTTCACCTGATGGTAAGTGGTTGCTGTGGCCCATAGACATATACATCTATCCTCGTCTGCGAATCTAAATGCAGATGCGTTGTCACTCGTGCAGACTAAGATGGAATGCCTCTTTTCCAGTAAAAAGGGTCTCCAGTTCTCTACACTCACCATACGAAACACAGCAGTGTTAAGCTGCTATTTAACGCTGGTATTCTGTGAGAGCTTGGTCCTTCCCCGCTCGAGCCGACCCATGATCTGTGTGATCGCGTGATCTCTCTCCGGTCGTATCGGTTTGCTGTTCTATCTGAATATGAGAGTTCTTATTTGTGAGAGGTTTTTAGGGAGTCTGGAGCTCTGCCCCGATACGTGCTTATCCTGCTTAATTGGTCTAAAGCGTATGTCTCTCTCTCTGATTGACAAACAGAATTCGGGATAAAATCAATTACTCGTGAATTATAATCCTGTTCTGCGTAAATGGCTAATATCCTTTGAGACTGACCGCCGTGATCGAATTTCGGTCCGGATGACATTATTATTTTTGGATATGACAAGTCCTTTTTTTATAGAATAAGGGTGACCAACGAACACACAGTCCACCTGATGGCGAGTGGTTGCTGTGGCCTATAGACATCTACATCTATCTTCGTTTGTGAATTAGAATGCAGATAAGTTGTCAACTGTGAGGACTAAGATAGAATGCCTCTTTTCCAGTAAAAAGGGTCTCGATCTCTACACTCACCATTCGAAACACAGCAGCATTAAGCTGCTATTTTGCGATGGTATTCTGTGAGAACTTTTCTACACAACATCTGTTTTACGAGATATTCGGCATATTGGGCCTTATGTCATCTCGCCGAATACTTGTGGTTCATTTGAGTTTCTCTGGATCTACTGTAGATGGTAGTGAAATATATTTACTATATAATAAGACTTCTTTTCTGCCTAGAAGTCCGTCTGTGTAGGCACCACCTTTTTATTTATTTATGCCGACAAGCAACAATGCATGCACTGATGTGTTCCGGTGTGAAGATTATAAAGAAACAGTATAATTAAACGCTGTTAGACATTCCAAATCAGTCCTCAAAGGTGACGTCACTTCTGTAGCCTTATTCGTTTGAAGTTAGCTGCAGGCGTCCATTGGCTACAGTAGCCACTTAGCATCAGGTGGGTTGTAAGTTCGTTTGTCAGTTCTCATAAAAAAAATTATCATCATTACGGTCCACAGCTGAACATAGGCCACCTGCAATGAATGTCACAAAGCACGGTCCTAAGCCACCTGCATCCATCGACTTGCCGTATCTTACCGGGTCGTCACTTCATCTAGTGATGGTCCGTTGCATACTTCGCTTGCCACTACGAGCCTGCCACTCTCATATAGCTCGATAAACTTCTTTCTAAGTCGGTTTATCGAGCTATATGAAAGTCCATAGCACTTTACAAAACAAGTTTATAGGGTAAAATAGTAATTAAAAAACAGACGGCGTAAGAAGTTTACTTAACAGAGAAAAAATGTATACACTATGTCACTAACACTATTAATACGAATCTAACAACATTCCATATATTAAAATCCATCAAGCGCTTTAGGCTACAGAGCGTGCCAAATTAATAGACATACATATATACATACTCTCGAAAAACCTTACGCTCCATCTGGGGCTCTCTAGTAAAAACATTACGCTCCTTCTGGGGCACTAGGGTAAAACATTACGCCCCTTCTGGGGCACTAGGGTAAAAACATTAGGCTCCTTCTGGCGCACTCATGTAAAAACATTACACTCCTTCTGGCATACTCGGGTAAAACATTAAAATCCTCTTGGGGCAGTCGGGGAATAAAAAACTGTACATAAATAATTACCTGAGGTAAGAGTGGGAGTCTGGTGACCAAGTACTGCCACCTCGCGAACATGCTCTGCTTGCACAACAGCGATGGCTGACCATTCTCCAGCTTGCCCGTGGTCGCGTTCACTATCTCCGGCACCTGGTCATAGATCGTTAGGGCCACATCTCCAGTCTCATTATTCATTCATTTATTACTTTGGTCACTACTGAGCAAAGGTTACAGTATTACAATGCTAAAATGCAGCCTATACTATATGAAAGTCAAATGATTTAATAAATTACTTCTGCATATTAGAAATGAAAACAAATTGCTTCTATATATATATATATATATATATATATATATTACAACTGTTTTTACAATACGGAAGAATATCTACAAAGCAGCCAGGCTAATCAACCCTAAACGGTAATAAATAATGTATACCCTGCTACTACCATAACGCAGAAGACGAAGGTTTTGATTGCGTGTTCATATCACGTCGAGGTCACCACTGTGCCGTAGGAAGGAAAAGGGGAGATCTCCCAGGAAAAGGGGAGATTTCCCCTTTTCCTGGGAGATCATTTCATTCATTCAGAGATTACCCCCGCAATCAACAACCTTCGGAAACTACAACTTCAAAACGTTTGTCTTCTGCGTTATGGTAGTAGCAGGGCATACATTATTTATTACCGTTTAGGGTTATTTAGCCTGACTGCTACAATATTATATATTCTTTATTTTAATAATACATCATTAAACATAATTTTTTTAATTCAGACTCATTGTTTAATTCTTCAAACATATTTATTTATTATGTAACTTAAATTAGAAATAAGTCTATTAAATATTATCAATATTGTAATACGGGAAAAGGTTGGTTAAGTTGTAATACACATCATATTTTAAACCATAGAACAACACAGCCTACCGGCGCGGCGGGCCAGAGGCGAGTTGCCATAGCGTTTTTTGCCAATACAAAACTGTCTGTCACTTTTTGCGAGGGGAAATCTGCGCCCACAAAACCATTTAAAACATTAAACTAACAATTTCACACACATATAAATATATTATGACAATAACGCTCGGTGACAGCGACAACTCTGATACAGACTCGGAACAGTCGCTCGACCGATCTGCATATTATGTGTCTATCAGAAAACACAGCATCTCTTATGAAGAAGCAGCGTGTACTCACCCTTATATTGATACTTACTACCGTCTATTGTAGATCAATCCATAGATAATGTTGTCTATGGACTATCACCGCAAGGAGGGGATACACTGTTATATTAGTGTTTGGTGCCTGTTTGTGTCATTGCGTGTGTTACTCGCTGCCGTGTTGATACATTTAAGTTGCGCTAGAAAAGTACTACAAAGTTTTATTTGAAATGAGTGGTAACGCTGATTTTCCGCAACATGTTGGGGAAAAGGATGTGAACATTACGGATACGATTGAGGATGAACCGGACTCGTCTTCGTCGAGCTCATCGTCTCCATCTCGGTCCAAAAGTGGAAGACCGCCTTTCAAAAGAAGCAATGTTAAAGAAGACCCACGAATAGAGGCCCTCATAAACTAGGTAGCATTTTTATCAAACATATACATGCAGAGTCTCGGCAGCTCGCAAAATAACCTACAAGATGTTAATGCCTATACTTGTGATAACTTTCTTACTATACTAAAAGAAAAGCCCATGCTTGAACTAGGTTCAATAGTCATCAATATTGATGGAAGTAAAATAATAAAATCAGCCCTTCCGGAGAGGGTTGAGAAAATAAAAATATTGCAACATTTTGCCTTGTCCACATGGCAAAATGTAAGATATTCCAAGACTCTACAATCTTTTATAGCTACCCCAGGATTCACTCAACTTAGGGTTAATGACGAATTGTGCCATCTGAACAAATCAAAAGATTATTTATCTGGTACTGAAAGTGTAATGGCAGCATTATCAAATGCTGTTTTTGAAAGCAATGAATTACTCCGAGCAGGCTTACAGTCAGTAGTGGATTGGGCTGCTAAATCCCCAGAGGAATTAAATGCACCAGCACTTGCGCAAAAGATAAGCTCTGCTATTGGGAACGGCACAGCCTTTAATAAAAATTCTGAAGATATCCTATAGGTTTTATGTGGTAAAAGAGCTGAATGCATTGAAACTACGAGGGTGGATTGAAAAGTACTCGGCCTAACCAAGAAAATAAACAAATACTAAATCAGTTATATTTTTATTTTTCTACATAATCACCATCAAGTTCAATACACTTTTGCCACCTCCCCTTCCAAGCATTTAGACCGTTGAAAAAAAATGATTCTTCCTTAGAGTCAAAATATGCGTCTACAGCTGCTTTGACCTCGTCGTTTGTCGAAAATCTTTGACCTTCCAAGTGCTTTTTTAGGTTAGGGAACAGAAAGAAGTCTGATGGTGCCAGATCAGGTGAATACGGCGGATGCAGTAACAGTTCAAAGCCACAGTTGTGAATTTCAGCCATTGACTGTACTGACGTGTGAACACGGGCGTTATCTTGATGAAACAGGACTTTTCTTCTGAGCATTCCTCGACGTTTTTCTTTTATTTCCTCTCGTAAACGACGTAGTAAGGCGCAGTAGTAATCAGAGTTTATATTCTGACCCCTTTCAAGATAATCAATCATAATCACACCTTTCGAGTCCCAGAATACTGAAGCCATCACCTTATTTGCCGACAAAATCGACTTAGCCTTTTTAGGAGGTGGTGAACCAGGTCTTCTCCACTGTTTTGATTGTTGTTTTGTTTCCGGTGTACAGTAATGAACCCATGTTTCGTCCATAGTAACAAAACGATTCAAAAAATCATCTGCATCGGCTTCAAATAACTCCAAACAGTCGCGTGAAATAGTCAATCGCGTCCTTTTTTGTTCAACTGAAAGCAGTCGCGGAACCCACCTCGCAGACACCTTGTGGAAACCCAACTCGTTGACAATGATGTTTTGAGTTCGTTCATAAGAGATGCCTATAATCTCGGCTATCTCTCTAATTTTTAATCTGCGGTCTCCCATTATTAAATCAAGTACTTTTTTAATATTTTCGTCAGTAGTTGACGTCGAAGGCCTTCCAGAGCGGGGTTCATCTTTCACACTCTCTCTACCACGCTTAAATTCTGCTATCCATTTTTTGACGGATGAATATGACAGAGCACAATCGCCTAATGTACTGACCATGTCATCATGGATGGCTTTTAATGATAGCCCCTTCTTATGGAGGTACTTAATGACGGCACGCTGCTCGATTTGCTCCATTCGCGGAAATTATGTCCGATTACTTTGTTAATAAATTTATAAAATCACAACTAATTATCGCACACGTTTCGAACTTCACACAATGAACTAGTCTGAACTGAAATAAATAATGTGGGTAGATTTGATTTTTAGAATTGAATGGATCTGTGTTAGGCCGAGTACTTTTTAATCCACCCTCGTAGAAGGGAGAAATTAATTAAAGAAGTGCCCAACAAATGTATTCAGTTGGCCTTGAGAAATATTCCTCCATCTGAAAGTGTCTTATTCGATCAACCTAAATTAAATACCCTTATTAAAAATTTTGGTGGCCCTACACAGTGGATTAAGTCGCTTATTTTTAAAGAAAATAAGAATAGTCAGGGTTTGGCTTTAAAGCGAAAAGGATCGGATCCTTTTCCTTACCCTTCCACTAGTACGGCTCCTAAGAAAACAAAGTTAGAATTTCCCCAGAGGAACACTGGTTACCAAAATTATAATTCCCATTACCAAAAGGGCTCTTCCAGAGGCAAAGGAAAAGGCAAAGGTAAGGGTAAAAAGTCGTCCTTTTGCCCCCATGACAGTGATAAACAATGACTCGGAACGGGAATTCAGGGGGGGTCAATTAAGACTTCAGGGATCGATGGGAACAAGTCGGAGCTACTCCCTTTATCCTAAAAGCTATATCAGGGTCTCGGATTCCTTTTATTCAAAGACCTGCACTGAGGTACCCCTCACCAACAGTAGCTCGGAGCTATGCAACAAAAGCTTCATCCCAGATGACTGTACAGATAAACGAACTGAAACGTATCGGAGTTTTAGAAAAGCCTACTTCTTTGACTCCCGGTTTCTTCTCCCGCATTTTTTTTGTAAAAAAGAGCGATGGTGGCCTGAGACCGATTTTCGACCTTCAGGAGTTGAACAAGTTTGTAGGAACAAAGCATTTTCATCTTATAAGCCATACCAAGGTACCAGATTTCCTTCAACCTGGAGATTGCATGGTAAAGGTCGACATTTCACAGGCATATTTCCACCTACCTATAGCAATGTCACACAGACCTTTCCTGCGACTTTTTTACAAACAAGTATTGCTTCAAATGACCTCACTTCCATTTGGCCTATCATCAGCCCCAAGGCTTTTCTCTGCTGTAACTTGCTGGGTCGCGGAAACCCTACGAAAGAAAGGAATGCGTGTTCTAGTATACCTGGACGATTATCTTATAGTGCACCAGGACCCCTCCAAGTTAGTATCACTGACCACGGAGGTGGTGAAGCTCTTGGAATTACTGGGCTGGCAAGTGAATTTCAAAAAATCAATACTGACCCCAATGAGATCACTCGAGTTTCTAGGCATAAAATGGAATACAGACGAAAATGTAATGAGTCTTCCTGCCAAAAAGAAAACATCAATCTTGACTGCAATAACAAAAATATTAACAACGAAATCCTGCCATCTTCGGCAATTACAATGCCTTCTGGACCAACTAAATTTTGCATGTTATGTAATACTTCGCGGTCGACTTCGCTGTCGCCGTTTACAAATGTTTCTAAGACGATTCTCAGGGAATCAGGTAAGAACAAAAAGACCAGTCCCTCGGGGGGCAATCCTGGACTTACAATGGTGGCAGGGAGCCCTATCATTGACAACGCCTATTCACACAAAAAGTGTATCGCACTTCCTGACTACAGACGCCTCCGACATCGGATGGGGCGCTGTTCTGGACAAAAAGACCATGTCAGATTCATGGGCACCTTACCAAAGGCCCTGGCAATGCAACAAAAATGAGATGTTTGTCGTACTGTCTGTAATGAGGTTGAACGCAAAGAGGCTCAGAGACTCTCATGTGCTTTTACAAACAGACAACAAAACTGCCATGGCATATATTCGCAAAGAAGGAGGAACGCATTCCATAGGACTCCTATCTCTAACTTTTCAACTTCAACATAGACAAGTGGACAAGTGGAACATAACACTTTCAGCCCAATATCTCCCCGGCAGATACAATGCGATAGCAGGCAGACTGTCGCGGAGACGTCCTGTACCAGAATGGCATTTAAAACCTCGGGCAACATCGGAGGTGTTCAAGCGATGGGGCAAACCAGATATAGACCTCTTTGCATCAGAAAGATCCGCTATAGTACCAAACTATATAACAATAGATTCACGAGACTCTTCCGCAATGTTCATAGACTCCTTTTCAAGAGAGTGGAACTGTCAACTGGGATGGATATTCTCCCCACCAAACTTGATTCCGCGAGTACTCTCATATCTCAACAAGTCGAGAGGTACCTTCCTGTTAGTAGCACCAGATTGGGAGAAACCGTTTTGGAGAGCGGATCTTCAGGCACGAGCACTCGACAAGCCAATGATTGTGACCTCGTTACAGGAAGTGTTAGTGGACCTCACAACAGGCCTTCCATCTCCGCAAGTAGACCGGCTAACCCTGAAGGTTTGGAAAATTGGGGGTGGGGAGATAAATTAGCAGATTGGTCCCAGGCGGAAAAAGATCTTCTTAAGTTAAACTGGCGTCAATCTACTCTGAATACCTATAAACCAGCACTTAAGCGATGGATGGCTTGGTGCAGAACTAAAGAAATCAATCCGAAGTCTCCCAGACCAGAAGAGGTGGCACAGTTCCTAGCTGACACTTTTTTAAAAGAGGGTCTGGCATACAGTACGATTTTGGTACAAAAATCAGCTGTAGCAACATTCTGTGGAATGAAGGATGACATATCCTCAAATTTTCTCGTAAAGCAGATACTTAAAGCTATCCATAATTCTAAACCACCTAATTTTAAATCGTCGGTGTGGGATGTAAAGCAAGTAGTATACTGGTTGAAGCAAAATCCAAAAGACGACTCACTATTTGAAATTGTAAGAAGGACTGCAACTATCTTACTTTTGAGATCTGGTCGTAGACTACACGACTTGACGTTATTGAGGAATAAAGAACCGTATTTTACTGACACTGGGCGAGAGATCTGCTTATGGCCAGTATTCGAAGCTAAAACTGATAACGGTTCCAGGCGGCAGTCTGGTAGGAAGCTTCTTCCCAATGAGGACAGTAACTTATGTCCAGTGAAATGGATAAGACTCCTAATTCAGGCAACTAAGGAAAGACGGACTGACAAAATAGATGGACATTTTTTCATTTCTATCAGAGGTACTCCAAAACCTGCATCCAGAACAATGATAGTTGGATGGGTGCGCTCTGTATTAAAGGATGCTAGAATAGAAGCTACTCCTGGTTCTTGCCGATCTGCAGTAGCATCCCTAGCCTGGCTTGAAAACAGACCAATTGAAGAAATTTTAGAGAGAGGCAATTGGACAGCTGCTCAGACACTAATGAATCATTATTGCCGAGAGATTAATGCACAGGAACGCGATAACGGAAATTATATTTTAGACAATTTTAAGCCTCTTTGAAACTATTATTAGTTTTATATGGTTTCGTTTGATTGTGATTTATGATTAAGAATTCATAATTGCTTCTTGAGTCAAGTTAAAGAGGTACAATTTATGTTAAATTATTTAAATTTATTTAGTTCATGAAAATTTATTTTATATGATGTTTTTACATATTATTGCAAGTAATTAAGACAAGTTTAAATAATTTTAAACTTGTCTTAATTACTTTCTACCTAATATAGAGGTATTATAGTCTACAAGAGTTACGTAAACAATAATTTCCACATTGCGTGTGTTATTATTAATTTCCATTCACCAGGAGATATCAAACACGTCTTCATAAGTATGAATCATAAGTGATGCTGTGATTTCTGATAGACACACAATATAAACGTTTTACACAACAATAAAACGATTATTATGTGCCGAAAGAAAACACAGCATCGCAGGAATGCCCTTCCTGGTGAAGACTGCAATGACACAAACAGGCACCGAACACTAATAGAACAGTGTATCCTTGCGGTGACAGTCCATAGACAACATTATCTATGGATTGATCTACAATAGACGGTAGTAAGTATCAATATAAGGGTGAGTACACACTGCTTCTTCATAAGCGATGCTGTGTTTTCTTTCGGCACATAATAATCGTTTTATTGTTGTGTAAAACGTTTATATTGTATGAGGCCGAGCAGCCTGTGTTGGTAAACAAATCAGAAACAACACGACCGTTATTATTGTAATTTTAAAGTTTAAAAAGGAGCAAATATCAATAATGTGATTAAAAATTACTTATGTATATGAAGGGTAACGCCATCTCTGTTATTGCAACAAAAAACTGAACAATTCGACATTTTTGTAGGATGTCGATTCAGCCGCGCAGCTAGATCTACTTTAGTGAGCAGTGCGGTCGCAACTAGTTTTATTGTATGCATAGGACCGCGTGGACTTATACTTTGACAGAGGGGAACGCCTGCGTATGGCTACTCCATTCGTGCGCCGCTGGCCCGTCTTATTTTGAATTTGAAGGCTGCTGCATTTTTTTTTTATTATTACTTTTAAGCCGTTATCAGGAAAATGCTATGCTAAATGCCTCATACGACACCACTACACGGCCCTCAACTCAAGTTACGAGAAGTCATAAATGTTCAATTACCAAGTCTACATTCCCCAGCATTCTTCACTTACTCGTACATATCTACAGCCCAAAAAGTCAACTGTTGAACATAGACCATCCAACAGAATACCTCTTATGCGCGATATGGACACCACAGTCACTAATACTTCTAGTTGTTATCAAGAAAATGCTGCTTGCTGCCCATTTCCTGTTCACGGCTGCGTGAAAACACGCCACTGCTGGACGTAGGCCTCTCTCTTAGTAGGGACGTACTGCCGCAATCGTGGAGAAATGGAGCAGGAGGATGAATAAAACTTACAGCAGAACTAAACGATAAGCGATGCTCAAGTTAGGCAACAATCGATACCTTTGGAGGAGGCCTTTGCCAATATGCACGCCGAAATGAGAGACATTTTGTAGTTAGTAGCTTCTAGTATTTTTAGTTTTAATGTTAAATGTTATTAGATCAGGGCTTAAATAGATAAGGGCGAAGATAAAGGGCTTTATTATTATTATAGCCTAGTTGCTTACACATCACTGAACACGTAGTGCTTATAAAAATCGTTGTTTCTTAAAACTTTAATAACTATATATTAAATGAAGATATTACAATATTTTTTTTTAGATAAATGTCAACTGTGTAAGAAATAAAACTTAGAAAACCTAATTGAAACCTATCCAGTAGTTTTTCCGTGATTCGCGCACAGCTGCAAACCTCTATCATTTTATTTATATAGATTAGATTTGTCGATTTTTACATGGATAAAATCTGTTTTTAATTGTATCACATTTTTTGATTCTGTACTTACTGTAGAATACGCAATAATAAATATTTTTCACTGCATAAATTACATAATTATTATTAAAATAGTCTCTTTGGTTGAGCTACTACAAAAAAAAAACTACAAAAACCACATGCAGCTGAGAGCCCTATTTTAGATTTTACTGGTATTAGACATGTGTGTCAATCGTGACTGATTCATTCATTTGACCCGGGTCGCATCAAAGTACGACCTTTTATAGCGTTACGATTAAAAAAGGTTGAGAAGAGATGCTTTAGATTGAAAATTCTGCCCAAAGACCTAGGCAATACGATCCTCCTCTGTCCATGAGTCCGTCTGGGTAAGTACCACCTTCTTACTTATGCTGTGTACAGCCAGTATATTTACAGACTGACAGGCATTCCATCTCAGTCCTAAAGGTGACAACGCACCTGTAGCTTTCTCTGAAGATGGTTGCACGTGTCCATGGACTGCAGTAAACACTCCTAATAAAAAAACGGTCCCAGGAACTTACCGGATAGAAGAGATACCCTCTTATAATTTTTAATTTAAAACCCCTTTATAATTACAGGCTCAGAGATATTCTATCTTAGTCTCAGAGGTGACAACGCAACGCCTTCTCTGTTTCAAGATGGTGGCACGTGTCCATGGGCTGCAGTAGCCAGTCTTGTAATAATAAAACCTTTCCGGGGACTCACCGGGGAGGCGCAGCTCCAACAAACGCTGAACGACGGTGCCCTGGCCGGGGTGCGCGCTTCTGTGCTAGCAGCGCGCGCCAGCATCGGTCTATGCAGCCGGAACGGGGGAGGAAGAGATGAGATGTAGCTCTCGATTCGGCCGCATATTGCTCTGGAAAAGACAGTTTACCATCAGCCTATAAGTGTCGTGAAGAAATTTGAATTTGAGGCAATCTATGGGGGACGCCTATGTTCAGCAGTGGATTTTATAGGCTGTAACGGTAACTTAGATTAAGGTGAAACTATGGACGATAATAATCGTGAAGTTATTCGCAAAGAAACCAGAGCTACTAATATAAACGGATAGTATTATAATGAAGTGGTAATGGGTTGACTACGTGTAGGTACTTGTATAACTCCAAAAACTGTTAAAATAAATTCGAGTTATAACCGTAAGGGCAAACGTATTATTAGAGCGACCTTCCACTATGTATTTTCGATCTGATGAGGCATACAGGAAGTAAATATACTGGTGGCTCAAGAGTGTGCGATGGAGATATAATGATCACTGCTGATCTTTCGATGCGTGATCAAGATGGATCCTTGGGGTTTTAGTGGATAACACACACACACACACACTCACTCGTGCACGCACGTACACACTAATATACACAATACTTATATACGCGGTGGTCTTTATCACTATTTTTCACGCATTACTAAGATATATTCACAATCTAGATTGTTGACGGCTAACTTTAAACCCAGCGATGATAGCCTAAGATAATAATTTATCGCCTCGATCTCATTGCGAGAGTGATGCAACGAAATCTAACCACTCACCTCATTCCTGCACCTGGGTGTCGTAAGATGCGACGAAGGCAAAACCGGAAGATCTTAGAACTGTTCAGAAATATTCAATGTTCAAACCGAAGATGATTTATGTACAGATATTTTACACGTGGTAGAGCTGCTGCTATATTAGGGTTGTAGTTCGACTGGGGCGGTTCAACCGAGGAAGGACCTCTTACAGAATGCCATCGTAAAATATCAGTTAAATGCTGCTGTTTCGTATGGTGAGTGTAGAGAAACGGACACCATTTTTACTGGAAACGAGGCATTCCATCCTAGTTCTCACGGGTGCCAACGTATCTACATTTTGATTCTCAACTGAGGTGTCTATGGGCCACAGCAATCACTTACCCTCAGGTGGACTGTGCGCTCGTTTGTCACCCTTATCCTATAAAATAAAGCGTTTAAGGTTACTGACGCATTATATATTGCATTGCTATTTACTCAGTTAAATTAAATTTACAGTTTCTACAACTTTGCTGAGAACTGTCTGCCTATGATTGAGTGTCAGAAATAACGAGACAAAATGTATCAAGCAATTTAAGATGCATAAGTTATATTCATTCAACATCATTATTTACTAAGTACAGCCTACCAAAAGTGCACTGCTGAACCTAGGCCTCCCCCATAGAAACCTTAAAGGAGGATATGCCGCGCTTAGTAGACGGCTTGGTCACCACAGTTTTTTGTAGTTTTTTTTATATGTGACAAACGAGCACACAGTCCACCTGATGGTAAGTGGTTGCTGCGGCCCATAGACATCTACATCTATCTTCGTTTGCAAATCCTAATGCAGATGCGTTGTCACCCGTGAGGACTAAGATGGAATGCCTCTTTTCCAGTAAAATGGGTCGCAGGTTCACTACACTCACCATACGAAACACAGCAGTTTGAAGCTGCTATTTTACGCTGGTATTCTGTGAGAGCGTGGTGCTTCCCCGGTGGAGCCGACACATTCGTGCTACAACTATACTACTAATATAGCTGCAGCACGGCTCTACCACGTAAAAATTGTTATCAGGAAGTTGCTACTGTCCATTTAGTGTTTCAGTCCCCCCTGTCGCTTCTTACAACACCAACGGGATGGTATGGTGTCGTGGAATCTCTAACGCCGCGATTACACTGCGAATAAGTTAGTATTATATATTACTCTACCTCCCACCCACAAAGTGCATTTATTTGCAACATTCACGTACAGCTGCTTGTTGATGTAACGTATATTACATTTTGCCGCGAAACTTCAGCAATTTCGCGCGCTTTTCACCACGCCATTAATTTTAAATCTGTAGTTTTTATATACTCCCTTTTTTTTAAGTTTTTTCTGCTTTTAAAATATAATTATTTAATAGTGATTGTGGATATATTTAACATTTGAATTTATCAACGAAAGATGCAGGCGTCGTTGCCCCTAGCCTGTTTTCTATCGATAATACGTAAGTAATATTGTTATAACTTTAAAATTGTATTATTCATTTATTTAAACTTTTATACACAAAATCTTACACATCGCGGACTTAATATCTTAAGGAATTCTAGGTCTAATGTCTAGACCAAGCTGAAATATACATTTATATAATATTAAATAAAAAAACGGTTTTATTTAATTTTTTACTCGGTTCCGTACCATCGTCGTAATACACGTTTCTAGTAAGGAAGCCTCCTTTACTTTTAATTTATTTTATATAGAGCTACCTTTCCCCAACAACATATGAGCAAATAATAACATAATCTTAAATAAGTAACATAATTACTTTCGTCTTTAAACTCTTATAATTTATTTATATTTAAAATAGAAAAGTTAACGATGAGATTTATTATTAATATGTCCGCCATCATAGCAATAATTTAATTACGTAAACACACTGCATAGTTGAAATAAAAAAGATGGCCAAGTGCGAGTTGGACTCGCGCATGAAGGGTTCCGCACCATCGTAAAACATGTTTCTAGTAGGGGACCCCCTTTAATTTATTTTTATTATATATTGTTATAGCGGCAACAGAAATATAAATTCTCTGAAAATTTCAACTGTCTACCTATTACGGATCATCAGATACAGCCCGCTGACAGACAGACGGTCGGACAGCGGAGGCTTAGAAATAGGGTTCCGTTGGTCACCCTTTGGGTATGGAACCATAAAATAAAAGAAAAAGATGATGAAGTATTTATATGTTACTTTGATCTCGTCCATAAAGTGTAATGACCGTGTGAGGCTGTGTTGCAATATCATTCCGTGGGTGTCGTAAGAGGCGACAGAGGGAAACAAATCAGAAGATGGGCAGCAGCGTCTTCCTAATAATAAAGAAATCAGAAATAAAAAACATTTTGTAATCGATTTGCTTTTTTTTCAAGACCATTCTATCATCAAGACTAAAAATATGTTGTATTGAAACTTTACGAACTAAAATGAGCAAAGCCAGGAAGTCATCTAGGATATATTTTATCCGAGATTTGTTTTAAGAAAGCTAAATATTATTAAAATTGACATTTTATGATTATCTTAAATAACGCCACATGAATAGTATTATTATCTAAATAGATATTATTTCAGGGTTTTAATTTTTTATTTGCGAACCCTAATTATTTTTCTAAAATAAAAGTAGCCTATGTTACTCCTTATGACATCAGCTACCTCCCAGTGAAAGTTCCGTCAAAATCGGTCAAGCCGTTTCGGAGATCAGCCGGAACAAACAGACCGAAAGACAGACAAAAACTTTAAAAAGTGTATTTATGTTATAAGTACCGTTTATACTTTCATATGCAGTTAGTAAAACGCTGTAATTTTGACATAGTTAAATATTTATAACGCACTAGCGATCCGCCCCGGCTTCGCACGGCTGATTTCTGGATCTCGACAACATCGCCACCTACCGGGTCCAAATGTAATCTAAATAATCTAAGGACCCATTCAAATACACACAAAAAATTTCATCAAAATCTGTCGAGCCGTTTTCGAGTTTTAGCGAGACTAACGGACAGTAATAATTGATTTTTAATATAGAGATAATAATCACTAAGTTCGAGCCGTTTACTTTCTTAGATATTTAACTTTTATGCAATAGTTATGCATCCAGTCCAGTTACGCGAACTAAATAACTAATGCGGCTCTCGGTTACGCATTGAAGGTTCCGTAAAAAAAATGAGACGGATAAAAAACTGAAAAAAAAATGCGTGTGTCGTGGAACACTCGGTTGGAACGAAATTCCTTGCGTAGTAAATTATTATTGATAAACGTAGGTATTATATTATTGATTAACAATTAAAATGAAGCGTCATTTGAAATAAAATAATATTTCTTTCATGGCAAGATAAGAAAAAGTGCGAGGGAGATGGATATTATTCCATCTCACTTCCTCTTAATTCGCCGCCAAGGCCGTCTACACTATGACACAAGCGGTAGTGACGAAAAAATCTTACACTGTTTGTCGCCTAGCTCCCATCCGCCAAACCCGTACCGTCCGATAAGGAACTTCGTTCCAAAAAAACTATAATTATAGTCCGTGTTGTAATAATGTGTTCTAGACAGATTTAGGTCACGGCAGCTGGTCTCGACGCAGACTAGCCATCTGCGCAGGACAGGATTATAGTGCACGATTGTATGCGTAAGCACAGGTGCACTCTCTATTGCCTCACTCTCATATTCCGATGGGACGGTAATCCGATACGACCGGAGAGGGATCAGGCGCCGTTCAGGACCAACGGCTTTACGTGCTTTCCGAGGCACGGGGGTGAAACACTGCCCTTCCTGACAGAAAAACTCAATAACTGATTTTGGCCCGAACCGGAATCCGAACCCTGAACCTCATTATCGAGGCGACGGGCATAGTGCGCATGATTGAGGGAGGGTGGGAGGTCCTCTTAAAACTGGGCAGGACACATCATTTTCTTTCTTTACGCGGAATTAAGCAAATTAATTTATAACAACCCCATTATAATGGATTTCCGAAAAGTAACGCCTGATTCTATCAATTCTATATTTATCGCAAAGTTAATATCAGCAGTGCGATTATGTAACTCAAGTTAGCCCTGAAAAGGAGGGTAAGGTTACAATAATTCGCATAGAGCTAAAGACTGGTACGAATGTTAGGAACACCATCACAAATGAAATGTGAAGTCCCCATCGATCCCACATCTGCATTAAAATTTTTCAAGGTCGAAGTTCGCAAAAATGATTATTTTGCATTTTCAACTAAACGCTAAGTTTTTGTTATAAGTACCTTTTCATTAGTGATCGATGTAAGTACCTTATATACTTTCATACGCATTTCATCATCATCATCATCATTATAGCCCTTCACAAGTCCACTGCTGAACATAGGCCT